AATGTCCTCAAGTTTCATTCATGTTGTAGCACATGTCAGAACTTCCTTACTCTTTAAGGCTGAATAGGAGTCCATTGTATGCATGTACATACCACATTTAGTTTATCCATTCATCCGTTAATGGGAACTTGGGTTGCTTCCTCCTTTTGGCTATTGCGAATAATGCTGCCATGAACATGGGGTGTACAAATATTTCTTTGAGACCTTCTTTTAATTCTTTTTTAAAAAAATAAATGATATATTCTTTTAAAAATATATTTTATTGATTTTTACAGAGAGGAAGGGAGAGGGAGAGACATCATTGATTGGCTGCCTTCTGCACGCCCCCTACGAGGATGGAGCCTGCAACCAAAGTACATACCCTTGACTAGAATCGAACCCGGGACCCTTCAGTCCGCAGGCCAACGCTCTATCCACTGAGTCAAACTGGCTAGGGCCTGCTTTCAATTCTTTGGAGTATAAACCCAGAAGCGACATTGTAAGATTATATGGTAATGCTTATTTTTAATTAATATGTTTAATTTTTTGAGGAACTGCCATATTGTCTCCATAGAGGCTGCATCATTTACATTCCCACCAACGTGCACAAGGGTTCCAGTTTCTCACCAACTTGTTTTATTTTTTTTATGTTTTATTCATTTATTTTAAAGCAAGCATTCATTGAGTATCCACTATCCCAAGACTCTATACTTGGCAGAAACTGGGGCTGCCAAGATGTCAAGTCTCAGGAACCTAGAGCACAATCGGGGAAACAATCACATTCAAGAAATAGATTAAAATGCAAGGCGAGCTCAGCCGGCGTGGCTCAGTGGTTGAGTGTTGACCTAGGAACCAGGAGGTCACAGTTCGATTCACGGTCAGGGCACATGCCTGGGTTGCGGGCTCCATCTCCAGTGTGGGGTGTGCAGAAGGCAGCCAATCAATGGTTCTCTCTCATCATTGATGTTTCTATCTCTCCCTCCCTCTCCCTTCCTCTCTGAAATCAATAAAAATGTATTTTAAAAAAATGCAAGGTGGTAGGTGCTTAATAGAGATAGAACATAGTTCTATGTAAACACAGAGGATGAAATGAGACCTTATTTGGGGGTAGGCTTTACAAAGGCCCTGACATTCAAACGGATATTAAAGGTGAGTGGGAGGAAGTCAGGTGGAGGGGGAGGGTATTCTAAGCTGACAGCACTTAGTAGCCAGCATCCAAGATGGCCTGCAGGATGGCCCCAATGATTCTCACCTCCTGGTAGTCATGCTCTTGGACCACCCACCCATTATGCATTAGGACATTGAATGGTTCTCACTCATGAAACCAATTGGATATTGTGAAAATGACAGCGTGACTTCTGAGGGTATTCCTAGAGGACCTTGTGGCTGCCTGCCTTGCATCCTCTTGGATCTCCCACTTGGGGGAAATCCACTGCCATGTCATGAGGACACGGAAGATGTCTTCTGGAGAGTCTTAGCTGGAGAGGAACGGAAACTTGTCAGCTGGTCAGCACGAGAGGACCAGCGTCGACTTGCCTGTCATGCGAGGAAGCCTCATGGGAGCCAGTCCTCCCACTCTATCAGCCTTCAGATGACAGACCGCAACCGCCCGAAAGCCCCTGAGCCAAAACTGCCCACCAAACTGCTCGTGAGTTCCTGACCCAAACCACCCCAAAGCCAAAATCCAATGTGAGATCATATATTTTATTATTGTTTTAAGCCACTAACTTTGAATTTTTTTATTTTTGCGCAGCAAGGGATAACTTATACAGCTAGAAGCATGAAAAGATCTGGTATACAGGCATACCTTGGAGATATTTCATGTTCAGTTCCAGACCACCACAATAAAGCAAGTTGTAGTCATTTTGCTGGTGGAGGGTCTTGCTTTCAGTTTGTTTAAAAAAAAAAAAAGCAACACCTGTGAAGCGCAATAAAGTGAAGCACAGTGGTTTGCCTGCACTGTGAGATGGTGGCAGGAGAGACCACAGCCAGGGACTTGAAGTTTAGAGACGCTTCTGAAGCGCCAAGGTCAGGGTAATAGTGGGAGAGGGCGCCATCTGGTGGAAGACGGTGTGTTTAGCCATTCCCTTCTCTTCCCACTCCTATTTTTCTAACTTGTTCTATCCAGCATTTCCTTCTGGAATTTCTCCAAGGGCCACAGTGAGGTTTATGAGTCAATTATGTGGCCGTACATACCATCACGAATAGGTGCAAAGACTAACATCTCAAAAATGTCAATTTAAGGTATTATCCTCTTTTACTATTTTATTTTCTCCCTTGGTTTCTTCCACCTGGGGAAAGCATCAGTGGCACCAGGATTTGAAGGAAAGAATGAAGACTCAGAACGCTGGAGAAGGGAAAGAAAGAACTAAGAGAACTTGATTATAAAACATCCGAGTCAGACCTCAGAAAGCGGAGTACAGCTGACCCATCTCTAATTACCAGGGGAAGCCTTTGTTCGTTGATGTTGGCCATGACTGTTGTCCCTTTCTGGTCTTTAGAGGCTTCTTGTATTTTCCAATGATCCCCCCAAATAATATCTAAGAGTTCTTGAATAATATCCCTCAATTATGTCGTTTCCAGAAGAGAGAACCAATAATACTACTAGTCACCGACATTCTTAAAGCCAGTGGCCCAGGCAGACCAAAGGAGGAGTAACTGAAATTTACCTTTGGAGTAAATTGCTGATGGTGAGATTTCAGGTAGTTAAGATATTGAAGAAAAAAATTCTTCTTTTATACTTCCTCTAAACCAGGGGTCCTCAAACTTTTTAAACAGGGGGCCAGTTCACTGTCCCTCAGACCGTTGGAGGGCCGGACTATAGTTTAAAAAAAAACTATGAACAAATTCCTATGCACACGGCACATATCTTATTTTGAAGTAAAAAAACAAAACGGGAACAAATACAATATTTGTATTTGCATGTGGCCCGCGGGCCGTAGTTTGAGGACCCCTGCAACTCATCCTAAAGAGGCAGAGTCCGGCAGACAAGCCAGGGCCGGCCACAGAGCCAAGCCCATTCCCTTAACAAGTAGGGGTATTTCTGAATATAATAGTAGTTAATGGTATACAGTATGCCCCTTATCTGCCATTTTATTTTCCACTGTTTCATTTACCCTGGTCCAAAAACATTAAATGGGAAATTACAGAAATAAGCAATTCATAAGTTTTAAACTGTGTGCGATTCCAAGCAGTGTGATGGAATCTTGTGCTGTTTTGCTTTGTCCTGCCAGGTATGTGCTTCATACCTTTGTCCAGTATATGCACACTGCATATGCTACAGGCCCGTTAGCCACTTAGATGACTTGGTTAGCAATCAACTGTTGTGGCATCACAGTGCTTGTGTTCAAATAATACTTATTTCACCCAATAATGACCTCAGAACGCAGGAATAGAGATACTGGTGATTTGGATATGCCAAAGAGAAGCTGTAAAGTGCTTCCTTAAATGAAAAGGAAAGTATAGTACAACAAGATATTTTGAGAGAGACCCCATTCACATAACTTTTATTACAGATTATTGTTATAATTGTTCTATTTTATTATTAGTTGTTGTTGTTAATCTCTTACTGTGCCTAATTTATGAATTAAAGTTTACCATAGATAGGCATGTTTGGAAAAAACATAGTATATATATAGGGCTTCATACTACGCTGGAGTTTTAAGCATCCACTGGAGGTCTTGGAACATACACACACATACACACACCCGCCCCCAACCCACTCCCCATAATCTGGAACTACTGTATGTGGGATTCTATTCTACATTCTGGCCGTTTGAAGGGAAACGATTGCTTCCACCTGGGGCAATCAGGGAAGGAATACAGACATTTGACTCCTGCTTAGATAAATAGATTGGATTGGGACCAAAGCTGGAGTGGGGGAAGGGCATTCCTCCGCAAGCTCACAGCACCAGCGAGGCAATGCCCAAGCAGTGGAGGGGTTCAGTTGGCTTAAGTTAAGAGACTCTTGAAGCGGAGGAGGAGGGGATGAGGCCAGTAAATTAAAACTAAGAATGGCGGTGGTATGATTGGGTGCACCAGAGTCCGTTGACACGTGAGGTTCAAATCAAGCTTCCAGTTGCATGTTGGCTGAGTGACATGGATGAAGTTTCTTAACATGTCTCAGATTCCTCAACTGAAAATGAGGATAACCCTAATAGGGTTGTTGGGGGAGGACTACCTAAGATACTGCCTATAGAGAGCTTAGTCCAGTGCCTGGTGGCTGGTAAACCCTCAATAAGTGCTAGCATTTTTTTTTTAACTTTTAAAAGATATATATTTTTATTGAATTTAGAGAGGGAGAGGGATAGAAACATGGATGTGGAACTTCATCCATGGGTTGCCTCCTAACGCCCCCTACTGGGGATCTAACCCTCAACCCAGGCATGTGCCCTGACCAGAATCCAACTGAGACCTCCCGGTTAATGGGCTGAAGCTCAACCATTGAGCCACACCAGCCAGGTGCTAGCATTATCATTATTAATGCAAAGCCATCGGGTGTGTGCTTTAGGGGAGATTAACTGGACAACCAGAGAAGTGGATTGAGTTGGGAAAGGCCTGCCCTTGCACCTATACACAGTAGCTGCTCAGGAAGCACTGAACAGAATTGTATTTTCTGCCAGGCTTACGAGGCATACAGGTTTCTGCCTTTCGTGGGCGCAGGGTCCAGAGGAGGGGAGTTAAGTGCCAAAGTTGGGGAGGAGGATGCAGGCGTAAGTTCTTCAGTTTATCTTCTTTCCAACTGTTCCCTGTCGGAATCTTCCAGAGCAAAGCGGAGGGGGCGAGGGGGCGAAACGAGGGGCCGGGTTGCGAAGCGCCTGCCCCCAGGGCTTCGCAGGATGTGGCGAAGGGATGTTGCGCAGGCGCAGAGCGAAGTCAGGGCGGGGCTCGGGAGGGAAAGCACGCAGGCGCAGTGCTGACGAGAGCGTTTACCTGGCCGGAGTGGGCGGAGCTAAACCCGGGAGCGGACCGGAGGCGGGGCGAGCGCGATGACGTCACGGGCACGCCGCCGCGCCGCGCAGCGCAGCGAGGAAGCGGCGGCGGCGGGGGAGGCGGAGGAGGTTCTCGGACCTGCGACTTCTGAGTGGCATTGGAGAGAGGCGCGCTGTCGGGGTGGGGAGGGCCTGAGGGAACGCTACGGGGCCCCGCGGCCCTATCAGTGCCCCCTGGCCGTCCCCGCCCCTCCCGCAATCCACCCAGCGACCGCGTAGGTGAGGTGCCACCCGCTCCCCACTCCCTCGCTTTCGCCGACGGTGCGGAGTTGGGGGCCGCCACCTGCTGTACCAGCGACCTTGGGCGTGGCCTTCCTCGGTCTGGGCCGCGGGGCCCCGCCTGGCTCCTAGGGCTGCGGACGCCGGGGTCCAGGCCGCTGCCGGCGCTGACCTCCTGGGCTCCTACCTCGCGCCCGCCCGGGGTCCTTCCGTCCTATCTGGGCCTGCCGGGGGTTCGGGCCCCCGTGGCCCGGGTGTCGCCCCGGCCCCCGCCGATGGATTGCAGCCCCTTGCCCGGGATGGGTTTACGCTGCTGTGCGCCGAGGTCCCGCCCCCTTGTTTTCTGCTTAGCGTTTGGGTAGGACTTTGAAATTAGGAAAGAGGGTGAGCGTTTCCGGTGGCTCTCCTCCTGGGGAAGGGAGGTTGGGCGTTTCAGGAGGTGATGACGGCTCCTCGGGGTCCGAGGGAGGAAAGGGGGAGGCAAGGGGCAGGGATGGTCCAGAAGGTTGAGAACGGAAGGTTGAGAACGGAAGGGAGAGGGAAGCGTGAAAGAATGGGGAGGCGCGGAGGGGAGCACGGGGTCCTGAGGGTGGGCAGTCCATTCACTCACTTGCCCACTGTGAGCGGAAACAGTGGTGCATGGAAGACACAGTCCTTGACCTGATGGAGCTTAAAGGGAAGGAGGGTAGCCTGGCAGGCAGCGGGGAGTGGCACGTTGGTGTGATCGATGCTGCTGGAGCGAGTGCGTAACTTTTTGGGAGCTCTGGGGAGGGTCTCCCCTAAGTCCGGACGGGATGTGTTGGCAGGAAGTGATGCTTAAGCTAAGGACCTGAAGGAGGCGAAGGAATCAACCGGTAAACAGTGGGAGAAACATATTTCAGGACATCGGTTCTCTTAGGACCCCTGGCTGCCTCCCTTCAGCTTGGTCTTTACGGTTTATACTCTTGATGGGTCAGTGGGACAAAGGACATTAGAGCAGTGGTTCTCAACCTTCCTAATGCCGCGACCCTTTAATACAGTTCCTCATGTTGTGGTGACCCCCAACCATAAAATTATTTTCGTTGCGACTTCATAACTGTAATGTTGCTACTATTATGAATCGTAATGTAAATATCTGATATGCAGGATGTATTTTCATTGTTACAAATTGAACATAATTAAAGCATAGTGATTAATCACAAAAACAATATGTAATTATATGTGTGTTTTCCGATGGTCTTAGGCGACCCCTGTGAAAGGGTCGCTCGACCCCCCCAAAGGGTCGCGACCCCCAGGTTGAGAACCGCTGCATTAGAGGGAGAGTCAGAAGAGCAGGAGTTTATATCTGCAAAATTCATTTCACCTTCCTGAATGTTCGTTTCTTCCTTTGTGAAATGGACATTCCACCTATAGTCCTGCCCCTCCCTCACAGGTTGGTTGTAGGCAGTACCTGAAATAATGCAAGTAGAAGTGCGTGGGGCATTGGAAGTGTGATGCAAATGTCAGGAATTGTTATGGTTACAGGATGCAGTCATCTGAGCGTGAGGGGTGTGGGCCCGAGGCCAGCCCCAGCGTGATGCCTGAGGCTCCTCCGGAGTCTCCACCTGCCCCTGCCAAGTCCCCTGCCAAGTCCCCGACGTTTGATCTTTTCAACTTGGTTCTGTCCTACAAGAGGCTGGAGATCTACCTGGAACCCCTGAAGGACGCAGGTGATGGTGTCCGGTACTTGCTCAGGTACAGACTTGGTAGAGTTGCTCTGACCTGCTGGGCTTCCTGTCTTCCTGCTCTGTAGTTGTGCTGGCCATTTAGGCAGTGGCTGGGCTGTCCTTTCTGCCTTAGGGAAGGGCCATTGGGCCTTTGGGCTTGTTTCAGGCCCGCTCTGTCTCAGGCCCAGCCCAGGAGAGGCAGGCACTGGGAACCATCTGGCCTTTCATTAGGGTTTGTTCTTTGTGGTTGAATAAGCTCATACCCTAGGATTGTGAGCGAACCTTGAATATTGGGCCTTCTATATCTAAAGTAGGCTTTCCCCACTCCAATAATAGCTTAATTAATAATAAAATTAGAATATAATTTTGAACCTAAGTTAAAGAAATACAAATACCTATGAATAAGCAGGTATCATTTTCCCTAATCCTTTAGGATTATAGATCTCAATTTTTTTCTTCTTATTCTGCTTTGATTTTCATCCTATATAATTGTCTTTTTCTCCTTTCAGCTCATTTTATAAGAAATATTTCATTTTTTTAATTTTCATTTTTAAAAAATATGTTTTTATTGATTTTAGAGAGAGGAACGGAGAGAGGGAGAGAGATAGAAACATCAGTGATGAGAGACAATCATTGATTGGCTGCTTCCTGCACACCCCATACTGGGGATTGAGCCTGAAACCCGAGCATGTGTCTTGACCAGGAATCGAATCGTTACCTGGTTCATAGGTCAATGTTCAACCACTGAGCCATACCGGCCAGGCATAAAAGTATTTTAAATTACAGATATGTGCCATTTCACTCTCTAAATACTTCTGTTTGTCTCTAAATAAGGACTTTCTTTTTTTTTTCATAATCAAAGTCACATCATAGCTAACAAAATTAACAATAATTCTATGATATCTTCCTATACCCAGTTCTTATTCAGATTTCCTCAGTTGTTCCAAGGATGTCATTTACAATTTTTTGGACCAAATCAGGTTCTAGTCAGACTATACATTCTCTGTGGTTACTATGTCTCTTGTCTTTCTCAATCTTCTTTTATGACACTAACTTGCTGGAGAGACTTGGCTCACTGTTCTGGGGAACTTCCTACACAGATATGTCCGGTTGCTTCCTCATGGTGCAGACTGCAAGGTAGATGTAAAGGATTAGATTTAAATAAAAAAAATATTTGTTTACAAAGCTCCTGTGTTCTTAATATTACACCTCAGTGGGAGTACATAAACAGCAGGCATTCTTACCCTGGAACCTGTGAAGTGGGCTTTAGGGGCATATGAAGCTCCTGAAACTGAATGAAAAATTATATGTGGGCACTTGTATATCTCTAGGGAGAAGCTTCTAATTTTATTAGACTCTCATAAAGGACCTTTAACCCTCTAAGATGCTCAAGAGAGATAGGTAGGAGGCAGAGTGAGTTGAGTTGGGTTAACCTCTAAGTGTGCTGTTGAGCAATCATTCTTACCTCAGTGTGGAAATAGTGGGAGATTTATTTTTAACTTTTGTACCAAGGCCCTTATTTTTCTTATTCTTCCCTTAACCCCTTTAATTTATGGCATTATCTCTGGAGATGAGCTAGTCAATGTTCCAGGGCAATGTTCTCTACTGTTAGATCACTCTACTCTTGCTGAAAGGGATAGTGAGATAGTATGACGAGGGGCTCATTTTATAGTCATGGTGGGACCAACTATCTGGAATGAACGTCAGTCTTCCCTAGGGGAGAGGGTGGGCTCTGGAGAGCATGGAGCTGTGCTCTCTGGTGTTTTCTACTATGTGTGTGGGTGTATGCATGTATGAGTGTAGATATATGTACATATGTATATATGTATGTGTTTTGCCCTTTTTTGGCCCTTCTTTTCTGCCTCTGGTCTATTAGTGTTCTTAGCACTAACGTATTAGAAGTTTTTCCTTTATGAAATTAGAAATCTGAGGATGTGGTCCTAGCTGGTTTGGCTCAGTGGATAGAGCGTAGGCCTGCAGACTGAAGGGTTCCAGGTTCAGTTTTGGTCAATGGCACATGCCTGGGTTGCTGGCTCGATCCCCAGGAGGCAGCCAATCAATGATTCTCATCATTGATGTTTCTCTCTCTCTCTCCCTTCCTCTCTGAAATCAAGTATATATTTAAAAAAAGAAAAGAAATCTGAGGATGTGGTGGGATTGATTAAAGCTGGATGGAGAAGAAGCATCAGGCCTAAAATGCCCTCAGGAACTTGTGGTCTCTGCGCCACTGGGAGACTGCTCTGCTCTGTGAAAGTGGCTGTCAGATTAGTTTGTGTGTTTGATTGTTCTGTTCTTAGTAAAGAGGATTTGATTTTGAAGAGGGACCTAATCTTGAGCTGTGGCTGTTAGGTTTGAAGCCGACAGCTGCAGTAGATTTTTAAAACGACTCCTCTCCTCTGGGACCAGTGACTCCAGTAGGTAGGTCCCGATGGTCCAAAGTGTCAGTGAAGACAGAGAGAATGGAAGAGGCTTTGAAATGAAAGTGACTTCAGTGGCTGTGTGATGCTTTTATTTCTGAAATGGGATTGGCTTAGACCTGGCTTTTAATCTGCTTTTACCCTGGTAGTTGCCACTAAATGGTTTGGAGGCCTAATTAGGGTGGTACAGTTGGAATGTTTTGAATTTTAAGAAACAGGCAGAGAGAGGTCATTCATTTCCTTGCTATAACTGTTAAGAAATAAAAGCAGCACCTAAATTAGCTAACCTCATTTAGTAACTCTGAAATACCCAAATTAGAGCAACCCCCCCCCCCCAAAAAAAACATTTAAATTCTGAATACATTGCTTGTCAGTAACTTACCTGTTTATTTTTCTATTTGTTTTTCTCCTCTGATGGATGACCTTAAATATGCTGATGCTGCTCTTTATTTTTTTAAAAATATATTTTTATTGATTTCGGAGAGGAAAGAAGAGAGAGAGAGAGAGAGAAACATCAATGTTGAGAGAGAATCTTTGATCGGCTGCCTCCTGCATGCCCCCCACTGGCGATTCCTGGCCTGCCTGCCCTGAGCGGGAATCAAACTGCAACCTCTTGGTTCATAGTTTGACGCTCAACTTTTGAGTCATGCCAGCCCGGCTGATGCTGCTCTTTAGACTATAGGAGCCAGTAGCTTCATTGCTACATCTGTGCTCCTTTTTCCCTATTAAATGTCTTTTATCAGGGACTCAGCCAGCAGTGTTTGCTTGTCTTCAGCAGCCTGAGTCTCTGGTCTTTCTTCCCTCTTTGGAGGCTTCTGCTTTGCCATTAGGTGGTGATGGTGGGAGTTAGGTCTGTCTGCTTCCATCTGTTCCTGTTTATTTAGGGCATGTTTGCTGAGAATGCTACACCCTGGTTTTGTCTTCATTTTTTAATATGTTAAGATATTTTTCTCTTTTTGAAATAACATATATATAAAATAAACTCAAAATTGCAGAAATAAGAGAAAGCTACAAATGGGGTCAAAGAAATCCTTTATATTTTGTTCTCTTGATTTCTGGATTAGATGACTCTTGTGCAGTGAATATATGTTCTATGAAACTGTAAAAAAGAATGCTATATGTAAATTATATCTCAATAAAAATAAAGGAAAATTTTAAAAAATGTTTGTCATTGTCACCTTTTAAAGAGAATAGAACCATAGAACCTTTCAAAACACAGGTTAACTGGTATTAACTAGGTTTCTTTCCTTTTTTTTTTTTTTTGAGTGCCCCAGGGGGTTGGGTGAATGTGCACAAACAACTGTCAACAGATGGTTGTTGGCATCAATTCAGTGCTAACATGAATCTCCAATTTGGGGTTCAGTGAAGAAGGAAACTTGATTCAGTGCAAAACAGCTTGATTGTAACACAGCACTGGCTATGAAAACAGCAGGCTGTGAGGCGGCCTGGGGGCCAGGCTCCTCTCTGGCTAGACAGCTCTGCCTGCTCCTCGATGGTTTGCTCTGCTCTGCTCCGCTCGGTGCGGGTCTGCTTTGCCCTGTGCTGGTCTGCTCTGCTCTGCTCTGCCCTATGCTGGTCTGCTCTGCTCTACCCTGTGCTGGTCTGCTCTGCTGTGCTGTGCTCCAGTGAGGCATCTTTGGTGTTTCAGCTCCAGCCAAGGGAATGCAGTCTTAGGAAGAATGGGAGAGTGTACTCTTCACTAGGTTTCTTAGTAGTTAATGTTATGAATGTTTCCTCTTCCTTGGAGAAAGTGCTACAGGTCTTCTAGTTCCAAGAGGATACCTTTTCTCACCCCAGGGCCTAATATGTGACTTTAACTCCTCTCCCAGTCACCTGTCCAAGTGAGACCCAGTTTTCATTTCTCCTTGACACCCTGAGCTCAGGCCCCCTCCTCTTGCTCCTGGTTTTAATGACTCACCTGTGCTGGCTCACCCCCCCTTCTGGCTGGTCTTTAGTGACTAGAACTCTTTGTGTTGTAGGTGGCAGACGCCTTTGTGTTCCTTGCTGACCTGCCTGGGCCTCAACGTCTTGTTCCTCACCTTGAATGAGGGTAAGAACTGCTTCCAGGGGCCGGGTTTTTTTGTGTGTGAATGAATGTGGGGAAGAATTCCAAAAAGCAGCCCCATGTGAAGGAGCCACTGGTCTTGCCCTGGAGCTGGCCTTCCTCTGTGTCTGCATGCTGTCAGAACACAGGTTCTGGAGAGACACGTTCTGGGCTAGAATCCTGGCTGGGTTGGGGGGTGCCCTAATATCTAATTTTCCTCATGTCTAAAAGGAGGATAATGACAGTGCTTTCCACAGAGGGTAGTTGTAGGGAATGAGAGGATCTGTGTCTAACACTTAGCTCAGTGCCTGACAGAGTAAGCAGCCAATACCTGACAGTAGTCCACCCTTATCCACAGTTGTGTGTTCTATGGTTTCAGTTGTCCACTGTCAACCTACTGTGTGCTAGCATAGGCTTTAAAAATATTTTCAAAAATATTAAATGGAAAATTTCAGAAATAAGCAATTTATACGTTTTAAATTGAGTGCCAGTCTGAGTAGCCTGATGGAATCTCTCTGTCCCTCCGGGGATGAGAATCATCCCCGTGCAGTGTATCCACTCTGTATATGCTACCTGTCACTTAGCAGACCTCTTGGTTATCAGATTGACTGTCATGGTACTGCAGTGCTTGTGTTCAAGTAACACTCTTTTTTACTAAATAAAGGCTCCAAAGCACAAGAGTAGTGGTGCTGGCAGTTTCCATATGCCAGAGAGAAACTGTAATGTACTTCCTGTAAGTGAAAAGGTGAAAGTTCTTGACTTAAGAAAATCAAGTATGCTGAGGTCGGTAAACTCTACAGGAAGAACGAATCTTCTGTCTGTGAAATTGCCTAATTTATAAATTAAACTTTATCATAGATATGTATGTATAGAAAAAAACAGTTTATGTAGGATTCAGTATTATCCACGGTTTTAGGTATCCACTGGGGGACATGGATTATCTTCCCTGCAGGTCAGGGGGTCTTCTGTGTCGTCATTATTATCATCGTTTCCTTCTTGACTGAATACTTTTTCCATTTTGGCTTCCAAGCTGATTCCGGGGTCACTTGGGGCATGATATGGGGTGAGGGGACAGAAAGGTAAGCTGAGGAGGATTTTTGCCACATCTGTTGATTTTCTGTGGCTCAGCAAATGAGCCCAGCAGGGGTTGCTGGACAGTCACCACCAGTAAGGAGTCTAGTGTGATGCCTTTGAGGTAGATGTGTGGACAGGTGGGTGGCAGTATGGGTCCTGGGTAGTGATGTCTCCTGGGGAACTGTTATGACAAGGTGTGCTGTGACCCAGCTCTTTTTCTTGTTGAAACTGGCAGATGGCTGCAAAAAAACCCAAAACAACAAAACAGCTGAACCCTCAGGGGAAATGAGTGGAGGACCTGGGACAGATTGTTCTGAGGAGCTGGGTCCTTGACTCACGTATTCCTTCTTCTGTTGAACCCACATTTCTCAAGTGTCTCCTTGGTTTTCTATGGAGAGATGGACTCAGTGGGTTGAAAATAAACCCATTTCACATAAGGCCTCCTGTTGCTTCTCAGTGGGGCTCTTTGCCTGATTGAACTCAGATAGCATTCCCAGGCTGTTAGGTTTTTCCGAACGTATTTCCAAAGTAAATTAGTTCATAGAACAGATATTTAGTGAGCATTTACTCTGTGCCCAGCGAGAGCTCTATTAGCCTGCCTCCAGGGTACCAGAGTTCCTTTGGATTTTCTCTCAGCCTTACCATTTTTCAGTCCACGGTGGTCTGGGATATCCTAAAAGTCAAAGGGAGTTTCCAATCTGCCCCACTGGTCCAAAGGTCAGAATGTCAGTCATCAGGAAGCCCCAGTGGCCAGACTCCAGGCATGAGCCACCTATTGTATGCTAGTGTAGGTTTCTTAATATTAAAAACATGCGTTTGATGCTACAGCAGTGACTAGACAGACAAAGGCCCAGCCCTTAACAGTCTACGTTTATGAAAGAGACAACAACCAAACCTATAATCTGTCATATGATACGTTCTGTGAAGTAAAATAAAGCTGGGCAAGGGGCTGGAGAGTGAGGGGGAGACACTGTTTTCTATGGAGTGATCAGAGAAGGCCTCTTGGGCAGAGCCCTGGAGGAGGTGAGGGAGCAAGCACGTGGACATGTGGGTGGGTGAAACGCCTGACCCTTGCTACCTGTTTACCTACAGTATTATTGATCCCACAGGTGCGTGGTACTCAGTGGGTGCCTTGGTGATTTCAGTGCCCGCCCTTCTGGGCTACCTGCAGGAGGTCTGCCGGGCACGGCTGCCGGAGTCTGAGCTCATGCGGAGGAAGTATCATAGCGTGAGGCAGGAGGACCTGCAGAGAGTTCGCCTGTCTCGCCCCGAGGCTGTGGCCGAGGTGAAGTGCTTGTGAGTATGGAAGGAGCCAGGGAGGTGAGGGACAGTCACAGTCACACCTCCCACCACACTGAGTGTGCCTGGCATTGTATTAGGCAAACCACAGATGTCCATTTCTTTTCATCTTTTTAATAGTTCTGGGAGGTAGCTACTATTATTATCCTTCATTTATGGATGAGGAAAGGGGCTTTCACAGCTAGAAATGGACGGAGTTGGGATGAGAATCCAGATCCAGCTGGTTTCACAGCTTGTTTTCTCTCCAATTGAGAGAGTTTAGGGCAGTGGTTCTCAACCTTCCTAATGCCTCGACCCTTTAATACAGTTCCTCATGTTGTGGTGACCCCCAACCGTAAAATTATTTTCGTTGCTACTTCATAACTGTATTTTCATTGTTACAAATTGAACATAATTAAAGCATAGTGATTAATCACAAAAACAATATGTAATTATATATTCAATATGTGTTTTCCGATGGTCTTAGGCGACCCCTGTGAAAGGGTCGTTCGACCCCCCAAAGGGGTCGCGACCCACAGGTTGAGAACCGCTGGTTTAGGGTCTTGACTTAGTGTGTGCATGCAGGAGCCACAGCCGTGTTCCAATCCTAGCTCTTACATTTACTTGCTGTGTGACACTGGGCAGGTTGCTTAGCTTTCCTGTGCCTCAGCTGCTTCATCTGTTAAAGGAGATAATAATAGGCTTACCTCATAGGTGGTTGTGCAGATTAAATGAGTGTCTAGTTCTCAGGAGGCGTTCAGTAAGTATTAGTCATGTTCACTGCACTATGGAGACACTTCGTAGGTGTGACAGAGCTGGTACTGCTGAAGAAGCACCAGAAGCCGGGTGCATACTATTAACATCACTTCAGTGGCAGCTGCCATTTGGTGCGCCCTCCCTGAACTGCGCTCTCTTGACATACAGCAGGGTCCTCATCCCTCCCTGGGCAGCCAAAAAACAGTTACAAACAGAGCCCCTCTCCTCCACCCCCCGAAAGTATGAGTTATCTGGAGTGGGGTTTGAATATCGGTTTTTTGTTGTTGTTGTTTGTTTGTTTTTAATCTTTTACTTTGAAATGATTTTAACCTAAAGTCAACTGGAATGTATAGTTCAATCTTTATTAGGGTATAGATTGTAGTTAGTAAGCCTATATATGACTAATTAAAATGAGGTTGTGAAAGTAAAAAGACAAAACAAACAAAAACTAACAGAAGAGTTGCAAGGATAATACAAAGAACTCTCATGTGCCCTTTACTCAGAATAATTATCAACATTTTGCCATATTGGCTGCATCTGTCTCTCTTTACACTATTTTTTCTTCCTGAACCATTTGAAAGTAAGTTACAAACATCATGCCTGTTACCCAGATACTTCAGGTGTATTTTCTAAGAACAAGGACATTCTCTCTTTTTAAAAAAAATACGTTTCCATTGGCTTCAGAGAGAGGAAGTGAGAGGGACAAACATCAATAATGAGAGAGGATCATTGATCAGCTGCTTCCTGCACACCTCCTACTGGGGATTGAGCCCACAACCCAGGCATGTGCCCTGACCGGGAATTGAACCGTGATCTCCTGGTTCATAGGTTGATGCTCAACCACTGAGCCACACTGGTTGGGCCAAGGACATTCTCTTATGTAGCCACAACCTGTAATCAAAATTAGGGATATTGCCAAACCGGTTTGGCTCAGTGGATAGAGCGTCGGCCTGCGGACTGAAGGGTCCCAGGTTCGATTCCGGTCAAGGGCATGTACCTTGGTTGCAGGCACATCCCCAGTGGGGAGTGTGCAGGAGGCAGCTGGTCGATGTTTCTCTCTCATCGATGTTTCTAACTCTCTATCCCTCTCCCTTCCTCTCTGTAAAAAATCAATAAAATATATTAAAAAAAATTAGGGATATTTACATTGATAACATTAACATTAGTATTATTATTTAATACAGAGTTCATAATCAGATTTTACCGCTTGTATTAATAAGGTCTTTTATATAAATTTCTCCTGATCCAGGATCCAATCCAGAATCACACATCGCATTTATTTTTATGTCCCTTTAGTCTCCTGTAACCTGTAGTAGTTCCTCAGAGACTTCTGTTTCTCGAGACCTTGACACTTTTTAATAGAACAAGCTTATTATTTTGTGGCATTTTCCTCAGTTTGGGGTTACCTAGTTTCTCATGATTAGATTCAGGTTGTGCATTGTTGGCAGGAAATGACAAGTGACATGTCATTGTCAATGCATTGCGTCAGGAGATATGTGATGTCAGTTTGTCTTGTTATGGGAGGTAGTATCTTTGATCCCTTGGTTAAGGTTTCTCCACGGTAAGATGACCCTTTCACTCTTTAGAGTTAGTAATCTGAGGGGGGTACACAAGTAAATACCTTGTTCCTTATCAAATATTTACCTACTTTTAAATCCATTGATGAGTCTTGCCTTCACCAGTTTATTCCTATGATGATTGCAAAGGTGATTTTGTAATTGTCATTATTAGCTGGCATTCTACTGTAATTCTTACTTATTATCAATATGAACTCAAGATTTTTAAACTTAATTTAATGGCTTATAATGTGTTACTGTTACAGATTTTGATCTCACATTGTCCTAGATTTGGCCAGTAGGGTCTCTTTTGAACTGGCTTCTGTGTTCTTTCGATATGCCCCCATCTTTTTTGAGTGCTTCCTTTGTGGGACTAAATGATGTTCAAATTCATCTTATACTTTCCCTGCCCTGGCTCTAGAATCAGCCATTTTCCCCAGGAGCCCTTCAGAAACCAGGGCCTGGATGCTCATTGTACAGCTTGTGCTCATTGCTTCTGTGGTGCATCCATTAAAAAAAGCTCTCCAAGTGAGTCTGCCTTACACACCAGGTGGAGGCACATTGATCTGTCTACCTCCTGTCATTTATCCTCACAGCTCTAGAGTATCTGTGAGGTGGGTACCCCACTCCTCATTTTATAGAGGAAAACGGCAGCCCTCTTAAGTAAAGGTAAGTAACTGGCCTCATAGCAATAGTTAGAAAGAGGCCAGAGCAGGAACCTTTGTCCTATTTCCACCTCAGCAGGGATTCCAAAAAGGGGACTGAAATGTATGAATGTCCTGAGCTCTCCGGCCGCTCCCGCGGGTTTGAAGAGACCGGCCATCCCTAGCAGCTGTGCCTGTGAAGTCCCAGGCTCTGCTGCCCCAGAGCTTTGTCAGGCCCCTTGGGTGAGTGGGGCCGGGCGTGCGGCTCATAGACGCCCCTTGTGTCTGCAGCTTGATCCAGCTGGAGGCCTTCCTGCGCCGCCTGTGCTGCACCTGTGAAGCTGCCTACCGGGTGCTGCGCTGGGAGAACCCCACCGTGTCCTCACAGTGAGTGCCCCTCTGCTCCCACTCCCACTCCCACTGCCCTGGAGGAATTTGTAACTTGAGCCCCAGGCAAAGCCAGCTGCCTTGAGGGCTCCAGGGCCCCTAACTCAGGGGAAGAGAGGCTAGCAGGTAGGAATGCACTGCTTTGTGTATGGTAATATATTTTAATAACAGAAAAATCACTCACTATGTCAGTGATGGCGAACCTATGACATGCGTGTCAGAGGTGACACGCGAACTCACTTTTTTGGTTGATTTTTCTTTGTTAAATGGCATTTAAATATATAAAATAAATATCAAAAATATAAATCTTTGTTTTACTATGGTTGCAAATATCAAAAAATTTCTATATGTGACACGGCACCAGAGTTAAGTTAGGGTTTTTCAAAATGCTGACACGCCGAGCTCAAAAGGTTCGCCATCACTGCACTATGTCGTCTCCCACCCTGATATAGCGGCTGATACCATGTTTAGATTGACTTCTAGAGTTGGTCATGTGCATATATACTCTATAGTTTCATAACGTATGTGAGATTCCCTTTTTTTTCTTTTTCACTTACCATTATATATCATCAGTGGTTTTCTTTGTTGCCATATGACTTTTGGAATTATTGTAATACCAGATTAATATCGAGGGTGCATATGCTATGATAAATGGAATCATTCTATTCTACATTTAGCCATTTTTACTTTTATTACTAACCCTGTAGTGAACATTTGTATGGGTTTAGCTTTTGAAAATATTTTCTTAGAATAAATTCAAGGATGGAACTACTGGATCAAATGGAAGGAATGTTCTTTAGGTCCTTTATATATAAATAGTAATGACAACGAATAGTTATTTAGTTTCCCCCTTGTGCCAGGCCCTGTGCTCAACATTTGCCATGTATTGTCTTTTTTTTTTTAAATATATTTTATTGATTTTTCACAGAGAGGAAGGGAGAGAGATAGAGAGCCAGAAACATCGATGAGAGAGAAATATCGATCAGCCGCCTCCTGCACATCTCCCACTGGGGATGTGCCCTTAACCCAGGTACACGCCCCTGACCGGAATCGAACCTGGGACCTCTCAGTCCGCAGGCCGACGCTCTATCCACTGAGCCAAACCGGTTTCGGCGCCATGTATTGTCTTACTCTTCATATTGTCTTACTCTTCATAATAACTCTAGGAGGCAGGCGCTATTTTAATCCCCACTTTACCTGTGCAGGAAGTGACACTCGGAAAAACCAAGGGACTTGCCTAAGGGCACAAAGCAAGAAATGGCAAAGCTGGATGCAAACCCAAGTTTGTCTTATTCTAGACTTCAGAGTCTAGAGCCTGAGGAGTGATGAGCGTTGAACCAGTATACGTGGCCCCAGCCTCAGCCATTGCGACGGCCTCACCAGTATCCATTGTTAGCAACCAGTGACTTGTTGGTGGTTGTCAAGCCTTCCACTTTGCTTTATTGTCCATTTGTTTGATCAGCAGATCTTGTCAGTTTATTAACTGCCCAGTGCTATTTCTTGCCCGAGGCCTATGCGGGGTGCTCCAAATTGTTTCCTTCTGGTCTTAGGAATTTCTGATCCTGTGGTTCCTCTGTCAATCCAGGTTCTATGGAGCTCTTCTGGCCACAGTCTGCATGCTGTATCTGCTGCCGCTGTGCTGGGTCCTTGCCCTTTTAAACAGCACACTCTTTCTAGGGAACGTGGAGTTCTTCCGAGGTAAGCCCTGGAGAGCCTGACAGATGGGCTCCTTGCTTGTCTCTATCGCTGATCATCTATTTGCTATTCTTTCCACAAGGGGGCAGCACCACATTAGGCGGGCTCCCCTGGGCTCTGCTGCTCTGAGATGTTCGGTGGGACACAGGGGAGGCTGCTACAGTAGGGGTCCCTCTGCCTTTCTGAAGCAGGTGAATCACTGCTTAGGTGATATGGTGGCTTTTGGGAGGTAAGGGAGGGATGTTTTCCCAGTGCTGCCACCTGACTTCCGGGACACAGCCCCCTGGAGTTGCTGCCACATCTCTGTGTGATCCCAGAGTCCCTGTCTGCCGTCTGGCTTCTAAAGCAGTGAGGCAGGCTGGAGAGGCCCTGAGTCATAGACGCTGGGGCCTTTACATATGTTTGGCTGATTGCTATATTTATTTTACTTGGTGTGGTTGGGTAATTAATTACAGAATCCCTAATTTATCAAGCACTTACTACATTTAGTCTCTTTACAGTAATCTCATAGGGTGGGTGGTGGTATCTCTGCTTTTTTTTATGAGGTTAGGTTAGGTGACTTGTTTGGAATTAGGAGGGTGACTCTTTCCTGCAGCAAGAGTGGGATGCTGGAGGAAGAGGCAGCCAGCAGCAGAAATGGATACCCCCAAAGCACCACTCATTCCATCCTGTTTCTGCCTCCCATCCCACTCTTCTTGCCCTGGTAGTGGTGTCTGAGTACAGGGCATGTCTGCAGCGGCGGATGAAATCCAGCCAGGAAGAGGGTACCTTCCAGAGCCCACCGTCCCCGGATGCTGGAGGGAAGGGTGTTCTGCCAGACTGCACGCCTGCGCCCACACCCACAGAGGTGAGCGTCCCCCACCATCAGGCAGAGCCTGCTGTGGGCAGGTTCCGGCACCTTCCTATTACCGGCTTGTTCGTAGCACATAGCTCCTGGGCTGGCCTCTATGTAGTTCCTGTTTCTCCCTAGGCCTCATCCCCTCTGAAGTGCTTGATAGTAATAATTGTAATAATAATAGCTACTCTGTGCTTTACTGAGTACTCTGCTGTTCCAAGCACTTTATAGATATTAACCCCATGAGGCGTAGGGTATTTCTGGGGATGAGATTTTGTTCTCCTTTGCAGAGGAGAAGGCCGAGGCACAGTGGTTGCTGGAGGGTGGTGTTGCCAAGATTCAGGCGGCCCTGTGGTTCCAGAGTCCATGCTCTCAACCCCTGTGCTGAAGCCACCACAGGTCCACCCTGGTCTTGGTCCCATCTCCCTGTCCCCGCTAGGTCAGAGAGCGCCTCTTTCCCATGACTTCCTTCTTTCTTGCAGTTGTGCCATTTCCTCTGGGGCAGGAATAGAAGTTTGGGAAACCTGAGTGCTGGCTCAGGGGAGGTGGCCTCTGCCTTAGGTGCCAGGGCTGCGACTCCTCCTTCTCAATAAAATCTCTCTTCCCAGGACCTCACGCCAGGCAGCGTGGAGGAGGCCGAGGAGGCTGAGCCTGATGAGGAATTTAAAGATGCGATTGAGGTGGGTGGCCCTTTTCCCCAGCACCCTCTACTGACCAGGCCAGAAATTGGGTGGTCCTGGAGCTATGTGGCTTCTCACATCCCAAATCTGGGTTCTTAAATTCTCTTATATCCAAGTGAGACGCTGAAACTTGCTCTGAGCTCAAACTCAGTGGGTGAAAGGGGGCCACTGAACTTGTGCCTGTCCTGTTGCTGATCTAGTGACCTGTCCTGGCTGCCCAGGGCAGGGATGGCTCTGGAAGCCTCTGGGAATGCCCTGCTGGGGACTGGCTGCAGATGTGGACTTGGCACCTTTGGTGTGGGGAAGGCAGATTTGGGGGAGGGCACTGCCTGGTCCCCAACTACTCTTAGGCAGAATGAGGGCTGAAAGATGCCTCTTTGGGGGGCAGGGAGAGGAGGCTGGAGAAAGTGGTTGCATGGCCAAGTTCTAGGTCAGAGAAAGTTAAACAGTTTTTCCGATTTTAAGACAGTAGTTCAAGCTGATAGTTTATAGTGTTTTATTTGGCATACACACCTTATATTTTTTGAGCCAATATTTAAAAATGGGGAGATTTCAGTGAAAACTGTGGATTTTCAATTTTTCAGCAGCTCTGGTAGCCCTGAGTCTGCAGTGGCCCGTGTAGCTGAGGAGTGACTGTCCCCTTTAGAAAGTCACACAGTCCCCTCCCCCACCCCTCCTCATGTTCCCTGGTCACTGAGTCCTAGTGGCAGCTGTCATTTTGTTACATTTGCGCTATTGTTTTCTTACAGTAGGAAATAATTTCTCTTTTAAAGTGGGAAATTGAGACATAAGAAATGGGGTCTTGGCCGTTTTCACCAGGCCTGTGCTTTTCACCTAGCCCATTCACTTTTACATCAGCCCGGTCCGTTTACTTTTCAACCACTGAAAGATTTCTCTGAGACTTTCATACACGATTGTAGACTCTGAATCTGGATGGTGGTGCTTTCAAGCATTTCTGTTTATAACCCACAGTAAGAAACACATGCACATCTTGGCCCAGTTCACACTTATGTTTATAATATGGATAAAGCTTAACTGAAACAAGTTTCCTAACAAATGCATCATAAGGGATCTTTTCTTTCCTGTTCTGTTCTATTCTGTTAAAAGAGTGACCCACTTAATCAATCTCACCCAGTTTGAAGAACAGGACACAGCTCCTCCCAAGCTTGTTTGATGCTGGGGTCCTTTTATGGGGGCCTCTGTTAATGTCACCCTTTGGGACTTGCTTGGACAGAACTCAGAGTAACACTTGAGTGTTTCCTTTTGCTGGGGGCTGCCTCATAGCAACTTCCTTCCTGCTGTCTCTCTCCTTGTTTTCTTCTTCTCCCCTGCACCTCGGGAAGCAGGAGACCCACTTGGTGGTGCTGGTAAGTAGGAGCCTTGATGAGGTGGGCGGGGGCCAGGCAGGGGGAGGGTGGCCACAGTCACCACACCTCGTGGGGTCCGCTGTGCTGGGTGCCTCTGCGTGCAGGCCCTGGAGCCCTGCCACCAGGTGGGCGGGACTGGAAGGAGCTGTTCCTACAGGAGGAGGAGGAGGGTGCCCCGTGCCCGGTAGAGGACGAGCTGGCCCTGCACGACAATGGGTTCCTGAGCAAGAATGAAGTGCTGCGCAGCAAGGTGTCGCGGCTCACAGAGCGGCTCCGCAAGCGGTACCCCACCAACAACTTCGGTACAGTCGGGACAGGGACAGGGACAGGGAGGGGCACCGTGGCCACAGGGCCAAAGTCTTGGAATTGTGGGTTTGTGACAAGAGTGAGGGGTACTGCGGTGTCCATGGGACCCACATAGCGGGATTGTTGAGTGAGTGTGGGTTACTTCTTATCCCTCTGTCCTTACTGAGCTTGTGGGAAGATAAGGAACTGGGTTCCAGAAGTGCCACCCTGGACCACAGAGAGGGTGGTGACCCTGTCAGCTTCGGGTGGTTTCCAGGGGGCACATTCTGCTGGATGCTCCTCTATTTCGGCTGAGCCTGCAGGTGGGGCCTCTAAGCCCCAGGAGGGTATAGGGACTGGCAGCTCTGTAGTCTCCCTTCCTTCTGTCTCTGGATCTGGACTTTGCTCCCTTACTCACTGCTCCCAGCCAAGGAGTCTGGGCTGGTGTCTTGAGTCCCCCATTTGGAAGACTCAGGAGCGGGTGAGAGTTGAGAGGCTCAAGGCTGAGCTGCTGCCTCTTTCTCAGGGAGCTGTACAGGCTGCTCGGCCACCTTCTCAGTACTGAAGAAGAGGGTAAGTCTCCTTGAGGGTTCCCTGTTGGGTCTCGGTCCTGCCCCACCTGGGCACCTCCCCAGTCCACAGATGTCCCAGGTTCCTTGGGTGGGATCTGTGGGTGGGCAGGAGGGGGTGCTGAGGGCTCCGGGTGCCTGGGGTTGGGGATGGGTCGCATACTGACCTTGGCTCTTGTTGGCAGCGGAGCTGCAGTAACTGTGGAAATAGCTTCTGCTCCCGGTGCTGCTCCTTCAAGGTGCCCAAGTCTTCCATGGGGGCCACAGGTGAGTGGTGCAGGCGGCTGAGGGTCAGGGCAGTGGGAGGGCGTGGTTGTTCCCACCTCTGAGGAGGTGCTGCCTGTGGGATAGGAGTGAGGGGTCAGTGTTAGGTCAAGGGAACTTGGGATCCTGGTCTGGCCTGTAGTAACATCTCCTCCATCACCTTTAACAATAAAAAACACAAAAGAATATATATGATCTATCAAAATTATGATGGGTGATAATGAATGACTGTGACGGCTTCTTTGAAGTTAAAACACTTCAAAGTTAAAGCAGCGTTAGCCACACCACTGGCTCCCACCGCCACGCCTGCTTCCCCAGAGACCACCATCCTGAATTTCATTCTTTTCCTCATTGCCTTGGTAATACTTCTGATAAAATAAAGAAGAATGTCTTTTCCTTCTGTAAAAGCTGTACATTATTATTGTAAACGAAACAACATACAGATGAGCAGAAGGCAGAGTTCCACATGCACATAGGATAAACGCATATGCACGCTCTAGAAAGGGAGCCTGTTTCACACAGTTCCTTGTAATACATTACAATGAGGAGTCAAGGGTTTTTGTCTTTCCTTCCGGTCATGCAGGTAGCATGTGCTTATACTGGAAGTTTTGGAAATTACCATACAGAAGAAGTAGGAAGAGAAAAATAAATCTAATCTTATCACCCAGAGAAAACCACTGTTAAAACATCTTGGAAATTTTTCTTCTGGCACTTTATTTAAAAAACATTTTTAAAGGTGTTGAGTTGGTGGCAAAGTAATTTCTAATGCATAGAACACCTGGGAGAGGCCTGCTGTTGGCATGGTCACCCCCAAAGTCCCTGGTTCCCATGAAAAGATGTCTCCAAGGGCAGGCTAGTGAGCTGGGTTGGCAAGGGTGTGGGCTGAGCAGTGGGTGGTCTGTGGGGCTTTGGGGGCTGGGGAGGTGGTTCTGGTAGTTGGGGTCATGAGCCAAAGGGCATGAGAAAACGTCTCACCAAGTTCTTCCCCCTTTTCAGCCCCCGAAGCCCAGAGAGAGACTGTGTTTGTGTGTGCCTCGTGTAACCAGACCTTGAACAAGTGAGAAGAGGGGACAGGATCCGAGCAAGCGCCGGTCCCTGGGCCAGCAGTAGACCCCACTCTCCCTACCCCTAGCCCTGTGTGGCGTGTGCTGGGCAAATGTGGCCCGAATGCTAGGTAGGCTTCCCTTCTCTGCCCTTGCTGTGTCCAGCCGGGTTCTGGAGCTGTTCCCCACTCCTACAGATGGTCAACAGAGGGGAGAGGAGCCCCTGGAGGGTCTGATATGTTTGCCTTGCTCTGTCCTGGGCTGTTAGTGGACTTTGGCCTGGGCAGGGAATATAAGCTAGAGGGCAGAAGAGAGCCACTCCTGGTCTCCATTGGGGTCTCTGAGGATCAGGGAGGCTCTCCAAAGCTGGGAATACTCTGAGACCGGAGATCAGAAACTGGGAAAGAGATTCCTCCTCCCGTGGGTACTGGGCCAAGACGTTTGCCTCGAGAGTCTGCGCAGGCGAGGGAGTGCCATGCCCCAGCTCTGCTGTGTGAATGTCCCTCCAGGCACCAGGATCTCATTATTTGCCCACCAACACTTTTAGGCTAACAAGACCAAAAGTGTTTCTAGAAACAGGGTTGAAGTTCCCAAGTTCCCCTAGAGGAGGCTGTGACTAGGAGGGCCTGGCAGAGTCCTTGTATTAATCAGAGCAAAATGTAGGAGTCCCAGCAGCCCAAAGGACCTCAGCCCCACGTTGCAGAAATCTTGACGTGCAGAATCTCAGCTCACAGCTGCCCTCAGCCCTGATGGGTAGATGCCAGGCACTCCGGTCACTTCTGCTCCCACTGCTCAGAGCCTCGGGCACCCCTCCATTGGCTCAGAGCTGCATTTCCCCTCCCCAGCACCTCGTCCCAGGGTCCCATGTAGTGTGAGACCGGAGCAGAGGTCCTGAGCCCTTGGCTCTTGGGGGCCTGGGAAGCATGTGATCTTGCCGAGCTGGGTCCTAGGTTCCAGGCTGTTCTCCAGCAAAACAGTCTTAGTTATGGGACAAGGCCACTTAGGGTCCCCATCCTCTCTCCAGCAGTTTCACATGCATTTATGTGCTCTCTGGGCTTTGTGTCTCTCTAAGCCATGAGCGGGCTCAGGCACCCCTTCCCTCCCCTGGAGCTGCCCTGCTTTTTTGAAGTATTTATTTATTTATTTCATGGTTCCTGGGAACATGGCACAGGCAATGGGCCGAGGATGGGGGCTTTGGCCCTAGGATGCTTCCCTGGAGTCCTGGGACTCAGAGCCCATAGGAGATGGAGATGTTCCTACACCCTAAGCAGGGACCCAGGAGGCAGGTTGGGGAGGCAAGGACCATTCTAGACCAGCTTTCTCGCCAGGCCAACAGTCTAGCCTGGGCTGGGAAGACGGGCCTGCTCCAGGCCGGTGAGGGGCAAGTCCCTGGGGAACCAGGCAGGCCTTGGTGTCCCCCTTCCTCAGGCTCCTTTGTCCTGTTCAGAGATGGGCGTTAAGTACCCTGTGCTTTATTACACTGGAGAGGAACTAAAGGACTTCTGTGTATATGGAGAATTATCAATAAAAAGGCCTCAAGCTTCTTGTTTTTGACCTGGTCCTTGCGCTCACCCTCTCCCTAAGGCCGGAGAGCAGATCCCCCCAGTGCTGGCCGAGTGTGCGGGCCTGGGCTGTGCCTGCAGCACAGGGGTGGGTGGGCATGGAGGCGAAGTCTGGGTGTGAGCCGGGGGCAGGAGGAGGAAAGCTGTGCCTTGCATAGGACAGGCTCAGCACATGTTTGTTGGATTGACTTGGGGCTCTGTCTTGTGACCAAATTGTGGGGGCTGGGGTTGGTTGGGACCAGAATTCAGTAAACTAAGCAATGCAGGCTTTAGAATGGAAAGGTTTTAGCTAATCCTTCTGAGAAAACAAAAACGGATCTGCCCTAGGTGAGGCTGAGAGCCAGCCGGTAAGAGGATTGGCTGTGAGATGAGGGTATAAGTAGTTCTTGAAGGCTGGGGTGTGGGGGGTGTTTACTGGTTGTCAGGCACTGTGGTAAGTGCTTTACACACATTGTTTCATTTAATCTTCACAGTGGCTGTACTTCTCCCCATTTTACAGGTAAGGAAATTGAGGTCCAGGGAAGTTAAGCAGTGGCTGGGAAAGGCTCAGCATGGCACTTGGCAGACCAGGGCTGGGCAGGAGCTATGCCTCCAGATGGTAGGCCTGGGGCAGTGAAGAAGGGAGTGTGAGACCCTGTCTTAGGGAGTTAGGTTATGTGGCAGCCCCATGCACATGCAACTCGGATTTAGCTGCCGGTGTCCTTGCAGCATGCTGCGGCCTGGTCTGGTCTAGGTGGGATTCTGTGAAGCTCAGGAGCTTCCCCTGGTGTGGAGGAGCCCAGCAGCTCCATAGGGGTCCTGAGAGGCAGGGAAGCAGCAGGACCTTGTCCTGGCAGCTTTTACAGATGAGCTTATTCACTTTAAAAAGTATTAAGGCAGCCTTGGTCAGTGGCTCGGTCGGGCATCGTCACGTGCACCAAAAGGTTGTTGGTTTGATTCCTAGTCAGGGCACATGCTAGGGGGTGTGCAGGAGGCAGCTGATCAATGTTTCACTTTCTCCCTCTCCCTTCCTCTCTCTCCAAAACCACCACCACAAAACATATAAGGCAGCCTTAGCAGTCTGGTGGGCCATCAGGTGGAGGAGTGGAAAATAAAATAGGAAGGGCCTTTGAGCAGAAGGGGACAGGAGTGAGCACAGGCCTAGGGAAGAGGCAGCTGGGCCTGTGCCAGCACTTCTCATGAGGGGGTGTGTCAAGGGTAGGTCGGCTGGAAGGCTGCTCCGACATCATCCAGTCTGTCCTCTCACGCAGCGGTGACACTGTCCATGGGAGGATACGTGTTCCCCACGCTGTTAGATGGAGCAGGGGACTTAGAGCCTGCGTTAGTCAGGGAGTGTCCTGGAGGTGGTAGGGGAGGGTGCTTGCTGTGGGCCTGCTCTATCAGCTATAGTGGCGCCATTTCAGTTGCCATAGGGGCATTGCCCCGAGCCTTTCTATGTTACTTTACTCGTCTGTAAAATGGGGATGGTAGTGACATTGGTCTCAGAGGGCACTTGTGAGGATTAAATGAGATGGTCCATGTGAGGTTGGAGTGCGGTGCCTGGCACATAGTAAGCACTCAGTAAACGCCAGCTTATTGCCACCATCCTGGCAATCTTCAGAGAAAGAAAGAACAGCTCTGCCCTGGGTGGCTTAGAACAGCGATTTTTTTTTCTTTTTCTTTTTTACACCAGAAAATAATCTTAGATTGTTATTCAGCAAAGAATCTCAGAGAGTGGCCAGAGTGTAGTTGGAATAAGCCGGGTCAATATAATTTTATTTTGGGAAAAGGAAGACAGTGCCGAATGTTGGTGAAATGCAGACTGTAGCCCAGTAGCTTGCGGGGCATGGGATACAGGACAAACATGGTTCCCCTCATCTGAGGTCGATAGCCCCACAGAAGGGAAGCTAGGGCCACCTCCTTGTTTTACCGGTAGTGTATGTGAGGGCCTCCGTGAAGCAGGCCGGGGATGGACGGCTTTAAAGGACAGGAACTGTGAAACCACGGAGGGATTTATCAGGGCTGCATTGTGCCTTACATTCTTGGCTGGGGTCAACAGCATGGAGAGGGCTGAACGTGGGGTGGCCTGGAAGACAGACTGTCCATTGCAGAGCTGGCTGCCTGTTTAAAAGATTCCTTCCAGTTCTTGAGCACCCAGGAGGAGGGGACAGGAGCCAGGTTCTGCTACAGCCCTGGTGCCTGCTGGGCAGACCTGCGATGGGCTGCCAGCTCCCACCGCCTGGCTGGGTTGGAGGGTTCTGCCCATCTTTTTGGGGTTGGTAATGGTGGGAAGCAGGCTCTAGTGGCCCTGGGAGACCTGGTACTGGCCATGCTTTCTAGGATCTTTGTGGTCCTTGATCACCTTCGATACTGAAGCCAAACGAAGCTCCACTGTCATTCCCTTGTCTCCATGGAATCTTCAAGGAGGCAACCCCTTTGAGGGGTCCTGGCTCCAGCATCTATCCTATTGCAGGTGGCCCTAAGATAACGATAATAGCTATGTTCATTGAGCACTTGTGCCGGGTAACATGCTGAGCATATTATCATGTAAATGTTATGAAAGTCCCCAAAGTAGTTCTGTTATTTATTCCATGTAACTGATGGGTAAATGGAGGCCCTGAGGAGGCTAAGTAACCTGCCCCAGATCACATAGCTAGGAAGCCACTGGGCCGGGATGTGGATTGTGCCAGAGGTACCAATAGATGCCTCATAAGAGAAACTGGGGAACAGTTGCCCTGACGGTCAGCCTCCCCTGTTCTGCCTGCCCCTCTAGCTCCAGGAGCTTCTGAGCACTGAGCTAACAGGAGGGGCCTGCCCACCCCCAGCCCTGACGAAGTGGGCTCAGCCTCCAGGGGAACAGAGGCAGCCTTGTGGTAGAGCTCTCCCCACTCTGCCAACTCCCAGGCCCCCCTTCCTTGGCTGGGTCTGTTTTAACACCCAGAGCAGCACATTCCATTCTCTGGCACAACTGGGGGCTGGGGACTCCGGATTCCCCTGGCTGCTGCTCTCTTCAGGGCCCCAGTAGAGCCGGCTGTCTGGGTTGGGACACTGGGTCTCAGCCACACACATTCCAGGAGCAACACCCCCCACGTTGTATTTCCCAAGGAGTGAACTTTAGCTAGGATTACAGCCGACTAAACAGTTGTGGGATGTGAGCTTCCTTTGTGGTACCCAGGAGGCTGAATGCTGACGGGGCTGAGAAGGGAGTGGGGGTCAGGGTGGGCTGCTCTGGGAGTCTCGAGAAAAGCCACAGTCTGAGGCTGGCTCCTCTGCTGCTGTCAGGGCTCTTGGAGTGGGATTGGAGCAGGGCTCCCAGTTATCTTCCTATGAAGCAGGGGTGGGGTGGGGTGGTAGAAGCCTGGCTGCCTGTATTCCTCTGGCCTGTCCTTGGCTCAAATCCTAGCACTACCACCATGTACAAGCTGTGTGACCTTCAACAAATTTCTTAACCTCTCTGAGCCACCTTATTAAAATGGGGATAATAATAGTACCTACCTCAAAGGGCTGTTGGGAAGCTTAAATTAGAATGTTAAGATGCTTTAAGTAGTGCCTGCCACCCAGCATAGGCTTGACACTTACTGATTACTGGTATTATATGTCTCTCCCCTATATTGGGGATATTTTTCCTGAAGCAGAAGTCCAAATGTAGCTTCCACTCCTTCTGAAAGCGACAGTTCTGGCTTTTAGATAAGCTCTTCCTGTCTTTTCTCTGCCTTCCTATCTGTAGTGGTTTCTTAGTTGATTAATAAGTCAATTAGGCATTTATTGAGCACATATCATGTGCAGGCCTGTGGTAAAAAACTACCTACCATTTAATGAACATCTTCTAATGCTGGGCATTGTTTCCAGGTACTCTTTTCTTTAAATATATTTTTATTGATTTCAGAGAGGAAGGGAGAAGGAGAGAGATAGAAACATCAGTGATGAGAGAGAATCATTGATCGACTGCCTCCTGTACGCCCCCTACTGGGGATCAAGCCAGCAACCTGGGCATGTGCCCTGACCAGGAATTGAACCGTGATCTCCTGGTTCATAGGTCTGTGATCAACCACTGAGCCACACCGCTGGGCTCCAGGTACTTTCATACAATTTTCCACTTAACACTCAGCTACCTTGTGAAATAGACATGATGACTCTATTTTACATCTGGGCCATGTTCTCAGTGTCACACAGCCACTAAGTCACAGGATTGGACACCAGAACTGGGCTTTGCTACCTCTTCTCACCTGATTTTGAGTGTTTAGCCCCACCCTTCCTGTTCTTTCTCAGAACTCTGAGTGTGCCCAGCTGAAACACTTGACTTCTCTGCTCCCTTGCAACTAGGGGGCCATGTGACTTCTGGCTGGTGAGCTAGAAGTGGAAATCTACCATGTGGGATGTGTTGGGAAATTACTGTTTCCCTGACCAAAAGGGCCGAGACAGCTGACACGCTGCTTTTGCTATTAGCACTTCCCCACCTTGCTGCCCGAGTGTGGCCGAGAAGTTGGGAAGAGGCACCATTTTGTAACCGTGAGCACCAAAGCCACCCTTGGGCAGAACAGGAAGACAGTCTGGGACATGGACCCTTCCCTGCTCGTCTCCAGAGCTCTAGTGTGCAGAAGCCCCCGTTTCTTGGCGTTGCTGTTCCACACAGTCAGATGCAACTCTTCATGGTACACAGCCCAGATGCTTGCTGGCGCACCAGCTGACTCCAGACCAGCCAGGAGGGGGCCACCAGGAGGGAGCGTCGTGCCTAGGAAATGAAGGGTGGGCTCCAGGGCCTCCCTGGTCTCTGGGAGGATCTTTCTTGGTCCCAGGGAAGATACTGCCAGGGGACAGAACTGGCGTGTAGAGCAGGCCTGACCCCTTTGTGGGGGTTGGGTGAGAAGGGCTTTGCTGGGCTGGGCTAAGGGAGCTCTCCCCGCCTGCTCCCTCATGGCTGCCAGCACCTGACAGAGGTCAGTATTGTGCTCCAGCCAGAAGAGGCCCAGTCCTGTAGGTTCAGTGGAAAAATCATCCCTGGTCCTGGTTGACCATGGAAGTGTCCGTAAACATTTGGTCAGAGTAGGAGGCTGGGAGACAAGGGGCGGATTCAGGGAGCCAGGTGGGCCCGGCGGGGCTGGGGCGAGGGTGGGTGGTGGTGGCTTCCTCGGAGGTGAGGAGAAACAAGCGGCCTCTGCTGCTCCTGACCTGCGGGGAGGCCACCTGACGGCCGGAGCTGATTTATGGGCAGGCTGTCAGACCACCTGTTAGCTCGCACTGCCCACAGCAGAAGGCGGGCCCTCCGGCCTCCTCAGGTCTCTGAGAGCCGAGGGAGCCAAGGTTGGTCTCATCTTGGGAGAACATGGCTCGTTGTCTTGGAGGAGCAGCGGGCCGTGACTGGGCTCGGCATTCCAGCTGTACCTTCACTGGTGAGGGGAGCCCCTCTGGGGGTGTCCCCCGCTCCCTGCTCTGGGCACATCTGCCCTGCCCCTCAGTCTCTGCTGGTGGATGCCCCTAGGGACTCTCTGGGCACCACCTCTTCCAAATGCTGGACATTTGACTGGCAATAGCCTGTTGCCTCCACTTCAAGGCTTGTCCCCTCCCTGCCCCTCAGGGAGCAGCCTCCATCTGCACCGGGCTCACTGAAGAAGCCCCTCGGGCATCCTAGCTGGTTCCCTCCATGCATGCAGGCCCACTGCCCTCCTCCTGCCTCAGCTGTGGGCTTATCTGGATACCTAGACGGAGGGTCTCACCTGGGCTGCAAACCACCCCAGCGACCATGGAGAAATGCTGATTTCTGAACAGCCTCCAGAGATTTGGAAATAATTGCTTTAGAGCGAGGTCCAGTGTTTCGTGGGAAGTGGGGCCTGATCGTCTGTTTCATGCTGATGCTCTGGTCCAGGGACCACACTGAGACCACCATTCTGCACCCTCATCTCCTCCCGTCAGGACCAGTGTGCAGTGGTCTGTGTGCTGAGAGTGTAGGAGCAGCGTGGTCAGGCCTCTGGCTCCTCCAAGTAGCTCCGTGGCCCAGCCTCTTGGCTCCTCGGAGCAGGCATTGCCCGAGGGAGGGAGACTGTTCAGGACTGTGGGAGCCTTCTGACCGTGGGAGGAGGCTGGGGAACTTGGCTGACCTCAGAGACAAAAGATGGCCAGCTCCGTCCCTCATTGGTGGGGATGATTGGGGTGACCTTTGTGTGCTCTTGGGGGATCCTGCACAAGCATGGACACTGCTCTTAGGCATTCTGAGTATGTCTGTGTGGACAGGCCGTGGGCTATGACAAGGGCCTCTTTCTAAAAGTCCCTTCTGAACCTCCCTCTCCTTAGCTCTGGGGAACCGCCTGACAGAGAAACCACCTGGTCAAAACCAACTGTTGTTTTCTTTGATTTAATTAAAAACTTAAAAAAACAAACCATTAAACACCAAACCCTACCTGCATCAGTCTAGTACCTGTGGCCTCACAGCAGTAGCAATAAGTTACTCGTCAAGGTAAAGGGGACATGCAGGGGCTGAGGAATGAACCCCAAGAAGCGAGCTTATGGGAGGGGATCTAGGCTGGGCTTCTCTCCAATCTAGGGGGAAGGGACCTGGCAGAGATGGGGACAGTAGGGAGGTGTGGCTGGAGGGCACTGTGACCCTAGTGCCTTTGGGGGCTACGAGAGGACACATGGAGGGGCAGTGAGGGTGGAGAACTTCCTCCAAGTAGTTCAGCCTCATATCCAGACTCCCCTCTCCAAAGCGAGCCCCCCCACCCCCCAGCAGAGGGGAGCTGCACCATGGTCCCCTCCAGAAACCGCCTCGGCTGCGCATAGCCCCTCTACCCTTCCCTCCACCTCTCCTCCCTGCCTACTTTTTGAGACCCTGGGGGTCTCCCCTCAAAAGAAAAAGCCTTATGTTTAAGAGAGGAAGCTCCCAGATACCCCAAAAGCCCTCAGTCAAGGACAGCTTGGGCTCCATGCACATCCCTCAGGGCCTGTGCTGGCACTCGGGGCAGGAGGTGACAATGCAGGGCAGGGACGGGGCAAGGCACAGCTGCGAGGGCCCCTTCAGTGGGGCTCAGCAGCCCCGTAGAAGAAGGGGTAGTAGAGGGAGCAGGGGTAGGAGAACATGAATTTGACAGCGAACTTCATCTCCTTATTCTTCTTGTCCCAGCGGTAGACGGCCATGAGCAGCAGCTGTCCGTCCACCTTGCGGCCCATGACCAGGAAGCTGCCGGCCAGGCTGTCCAGCTGTGGGCAGGGGCAGCCCGCACCATTCTTCATGTGCAGGACCAGCCGCTTGGTGTCCTTGCGCTTCAGGGGGCCCGGCTTGAGCAGCTTCTTCTTTTTCTGGGCTCCGATCAGCTTCCGGTCCCCGTTCTCTATCTTGATCTCCTTGATGCGCATTTTGACCACTGTGTATGGGGGTGGACAGAGGACAGCATGAGAATGGTCAGGTTTGCTCAGGATGCTGGTGGCCCCACTGCTGGTGCTCGTGCCTGAGGCTTCAGGGTGGAGCAATACACACACATTTTCATGTTTATGAAGCTCCTATCATGTGTTGGACTTTCACGGACATTATCACATTGAATCCTGGAGGTGTGGGTAGTGGGGAGAAATAAGATTTGCAGAGGTTGTAAGCTGCCCTGATTCTAGAGCCTGGATCGAGGGAGGTCTGGTCGACCCAGAACCCACACCTTTTCCAATACGAAGTGCACAGTGAGCTCTCACTGGGGCGCGGGGTTGGGCTGTCCAGGGAGGGAAATATTGGAGGTGTGGTGACCAATTGGAGGGTTTGGTGGGGAGGGGTTCTTGAGATGGAGGGAGGCTGGACTTCATGTTCTCTGGGGATGTTTCTGAATGGGATTTCTGGTTGTGTGTGTGTGTGGGGGGAGGGTGGAGTGTATGTGGTGGGTATGAGTCAGTGTGTGTGTGTTTGAGTCCACATGGCGTGAATGTGGGCTGCTAAGTGTTTGACAGCTGGCTCTGGGGAGGGGCCTGCCCTGTATCATTCGCCGGTTTCCGTGGGGTAAATACCCCTCTATGATGCACCGCATCACTGAGTACAAGCTGAGTACAAGGCTGGGAAGCGCGGCACACAACCAGCTCTTGCTGGTGTGAACACACCACTGTAACCTGCGTGAGACTGTGTAGTGTGGGTGGGAGTGTGTATGTGTGGTGCTGTGTGCTTTGTGTATATGAGAGTCGGGTGTGGTGTGTGGGAATGTGAGAGTGTGGGGGGCGCTGGAGGGATGTGGTAGAAGAAGAAGTGGTCAGAGAGTGTCCAGGGCACTCCAAGGTGACCACAGAGAGCCTGACAGTTGCGAATAGGGAGTCCTGAGCTTGGGTAGGGTCACTTGGGCTAATCTCC